TTCCTGCATAAATGTCAGATAACATAGCATAGAAGACATCATATATTTCATACACATACATAAGACTTATAGGACTATACTCCAGGGGTTGTATCCCGCAAAGAGATCTATACCTATACCTATACTCCCAGGGTTGTATCCCGCAAAGGAGATCATAACATATATCTATACTTATACTCGCAGGGGCTATATCCCACAAAGGAGATCTTAACATGAATATATACTCCTAGGGGCTATATCCCGCAAAGGAGATCATGACATATACCTTTATGATTTCCAAGGGCTTTATCCCACTAAGAAATCCACACCTTTACTCTCCAAACCTATACGTACTATAATATAACATATTCTCTTATAACCTATCATATAGCAACATATCATATTACTTCATACTATTTCCTATCATATCATAACATTATATAACACAACATAAGATATAACAACCCTCACTGTCAAAATAGGTGACAGTAAATTAATTAAGTGTTTAATGGAATTAAACACGTATTTAAGAAAATGATGAGCGGTAAATCATGTAATATACATGATAATTAAGTAAAGGATATAGTTCATGCTAGACAAGTCAAATAGGATTCTAATGGAATTAATATAAAAGATTTGGGGTCAAAGTATAATCATGTGAAAGTTTAGGGACTAGTTTGCAAATAAGTGAAACTAGGTATAAAATTGATTTGGATTGTATAATTAAATTGTTTATGGAATTTTTTGGGTTAGAAGTGAATTTATTTTCATCATATGATGTCTAAATAAATTCTTGAGATTAGGTCAAAGTATGGAACTAATCAACCAATAGAAATTGAAATAAGTCAAATTGTGTGTAAAATCAATAAGACTTTGAAAGTTAGCAAAACTTGTGAAATTCCTATACATATTTGATGGCTACATGAGTTCCTTGTGTCATTTTATTATTAAAGTCAAGGGAGTCAAATATTGATAGGAATTAGCCAATAAAAATTAAGGTTGAAAGTCTTAAGAAGAAATAAGCTAATAGGATTTAAGTTTGAAATTTAAAGGTGACATGTAAAGATTTACTCACTTGGTTTCATGTAATTGGATACACTTTATGACATAGCAAGTAGTCAATAAAAGTAGCCAATGAAAGTTATTTTAAGGGTCAAAAGGTCTTGGTTGAAATAAAGAACCAATAGAAATTTATGTTGAAAGTATAAAGATGAATGAACTAATGAGAATTCACTTTGAAAGTCAAAAGTTGTAGGCTAAGTGAGTAACTTATTAATCAAGTTGTTTGGCTTGATATTTTCAGCCATCTGCCTTCTTGTTTCACGCCACTTCCTTTCTCTTTAAGGATGAAGTGTTCTAGAATGTTGTAAACTTGGTGACTAAGTTAAAGTAGCTAAACAAGTAGACCAATGAATGGATAGCTTTCAAGATTGAAACACTTATTAAATATCTAAGTTTATTAAGACATTCTTTCCTTCCTTTCCAGATAGAAATCTCCAGTCTCTCTTATCTTCAAAACCGTGAGCTTGCTTGGAAGAAGAACAAGGATAGTTCATGAAGATTTAAGCAAAACTAGCAAAAATCCATTACACAAAACTTGTAGCCCTTGATCTTGTGATCAAAATCCCTTTATTCTTTCATCTTGGAGAGCCTTATAACTTGATATATCCTCCTCCAAAGGTGGCTACCACTATTCATGCAGTGTGCAAAATTGAGCGTTCTTTATGATTTCAAGCTTGGAAAGTGTTGGTGAGGTGTTTAGGAAGCTATACAAGGTAATACACTTTGATGGTTTAAAATAGATGTGTCAAGTGATTTATGGCTAAATAAGGTTATGTGTAAACATGATCCTAAGATATTATTTTAAGTGGTTTAATGTTCTTTGGTGGTTGATTGTTGATTCTAAGTCAAACTATGCTTGATTAAGCTTAAAACAAACATAAAGGCTTGATACTTTTCAAGAAGAACAAATCGGCCAAGAGAGTAAAAATGATACACAGTAGGTGTTTGATAAAATATCTAAGGAAATTAGAGTTTAAAGGTGATTGGAATGCTGAAGTTAATGAAAAATTGATTGAGTTGATTAGAAGTTGACAAATCCTAATAGAGGCAAATCTGGCCTCTGTTTTGCAATATTTATAATTGGAGTTGTAGGACTCCAAATTGGGTGTGGTTTGTACCAAATTAAAGGTACATAAGTCTACTTTAACATATAAAATTTCATAGCAATATGATCAGAATTGGAGAATTCATGAACAAAATAGTAAAGGTTGTTCAGACTGTTAAAAATTATGTTTCCATTTTAGCCCAAATTAGAAAGGGCATATCCCACTCATTTCTTAACGAAATGGAACGTGAGAGATATCAAATTAAAGCTTAAAGTGTCTAGTTTCTTGTCTCAAAATATGGGAGTTTTATAAGTGCTATATTGTTCCCAAATTTAGTAAGAATAGACAGTACCCGAAACTGCCCTGTGTAATAACATGTGGTATGAAGTTTGCAAAATTCATAACTCCTACGTTCCTTAACGAAACGAGACGAATCTAATGTCAAATTAAATCCCTAGATGTCTAGTATTTGATATAAAAATTTGAGAATAAACTGTTTTGGTAAACGTTCACAGAAAAATAAAGTGTCCACTGTCCTATTTTTCTAACGAAGGAATTAAGTCGTTTACTTACGACAAACGTATCTTGGATAAGGAAACTGATTAATTAGACTGATTGGATAAGGAAACTACCCAATATGATTGAGATGTGATGGGGCACTGACTAGACCTAATTAATAGGGTTGATCAACCGTCACATCAAGTTTCCTTATTTTTAGTGATACTTTTCTTATTTTCATCTAATCCGAAAAAAAACCCTAGCTGAAAACACACACATGTGTGGCGGTCTCTCTCTCTCTCTCTAGAACTCATCTTAGCCGTCACTCTCCCTTGTCTCTTCTCCTGAGTTTTAGCAACCTCTCTTAAAAGAACTTGGGACTGAAGAATTGTTCTTCTTCTACAAGACAACAAGGAGGTGTGAACTTTCATTTGAGGACTTATACAATCAAGTCTCGAGTGGTGATCAAGAACGCTTTTGATCCAGAGTTTTTAAGCCGAATAAAGGTAGTATCTTTAACCTCTAACATGTCTATTGCATATATTTTGGGTTGAACATGTGTGAGGAGCAAATGTTTTCACTTCCACATAATTTTTTTTGTTTTTCCCTCTTTTCATGTTCATGGCCTGCAAAGGCTTCTTTCGGTTGGAGCATCAAATGTCAAGAAGCTAATATGAGCATGTAGACTCTAATTACTATTTTGTATGTAAATGTGATTAGTTATTATCAGAGTTTCCATGAGATGTATTTTCGGAGGAGCTTGTATTTTGGTTCATACACATTTTATGTAAAGCTTGAGGTACATTAACAGAGAATGATATATAGGGTTTATGTGTTCTGAAACTCCAATGATGTATTCATGTATATAGACTATGATGATGTAAATATATAAGTTATAAGTTTGGTACATGTCATTTAGTGTATGGATGAAACATGTTGATACCATACTTTGAGATTTAAGTTGTATGAATGGGAATTTATGCCAAAGAATGGCTAAGTAGTAATCCAATGGGATTATATTCATGTATAAAAAGATATGAAATGAGATAGCTTGGATGGTAAGAAATGTTAGAATCTATAGCTTGATGCCTAAGAAACATGTATGATATGTGGAAATCCAATGAAATGGTGTATACCAAAGTATGCATATCATGGAGTTGGTGTGTGGGTCAATTAGGTACCAAAAGTGGGCAAGTTTTCCTAACTTGCTCTCTTACTTTCTCGCTGAAGCGAGCAATCTAGCAAGCAGTTACGTGAGATAAAAGTAACCATTGTCTTGAAATAAATTTGCTCGCTGACTTGCTCGCTCAGCTTAGCGAGCTAATTCAGAGGATGGCAGTAGCTATTACCTGGGAATTAAATTGCTCGCTGGATTGTAAAGAAGAAAAAAATAAAATAACTTAAACGAACGACGGTAAATCTTGTTTTAGCAACCCCAGCTTAATGTAGATGCTTGAATATTCTTTTTTATTACAAATTGAGAGTTTCAAATCATTTTTCGCTAATTCAAAACCTAAAAAATGCAACAAATAATTGAAAATAGTTAAAAGATGGTGTTTGTAAATAGTACTAAGCATCTGACCTGAAACTCTGGCCAACGAGTAGATTTTTGATGCAACAAGAGTAAGTACTACATACCAAAAATGGAAAAAAAGATGAATATGAAAGGAAATAACCATAAAAGTAAAAGTAATTTAGATGTGTTAATTTTTTTCATATTTGGTAAAGGATGTACCAACTCGGCGGTACATCCGTAGTATCAAAAATATTTTCCTAGCCAACATATAATTAAAACCTGTTTAATCCTCCGGGCTTCCTTCTTTCTTTTCTTTTCTTTCTTCCTTTTTTTCCTTTGTAAAGTAACCATCTGACATAAAAGTTCAAATTGTTAAGTAAAAACTTATTAATAATTTTATATTATATTTCTATAATCTTCCTTCCTTCTTTCTTTTGTTGTGCTAAAAAAAATTTATTATTTTTTATTATATTTCTCTAACACGTCTTTCCATACAAAAATTCATTGACTTGAAGAATGAACAATGCATCAAGCTCCTCTTACTTGTGCTAAAAAATTTCGTAATATTTAATTATTTATTAAAAGAATGGAGGCGGAAAGAATCACACTCGTGACCACTTGGTCACAAAGACTTTGATACCATGTAAAGGATCTAACTCATGACTATTTAATCATGTTGGCTTGGCTCTGATACCATATAAAAAATCAACTCACCACCTACATATACTAAGAAACTCCATAATATTTAATTATTTTTATTAATAGAATAAGAACGGTGATAATCGAACTCGTGATCACTTAGTCACGAAGACTCTAATATCATGTAAAACAACCAACTCAACTTAAAACCTCTTACTACTAAGTAAAACTACTACATTAATAATTATATATTTCTCTGACCTCAATACCATCCTTTAGCGCAAAAACAAAATTGTAAAAACTTCTAATAAAGGTTCAGCCACAGAGAAATTGTCAAACAACAATAATACATATTTTGCTAGTGTTGGAAACGAGATACATACTATTCACTCCTTACACTTTCAGAAGAGCTTGATATGATCATCACATAAGTTAGCGTATTACTATACTCAGGATACTGTGACCTATGAATATTGTGGATAGAGGGAGGAGGTGATTACGGTTCCTGTATTTCAGAAAGTTTCGGCAAATTAGGTTCCTGTATTTCAGATGGTTTAGGAACTTCCCTGAGCTGGACTGAGTTTTCATAACAGTGAAAGAAACCATAATGAGGGAATCTCTCATACCACGTATCTTGCCTTACATGTGTGTCCCAGTGTTCCCCACTACTGCTCTTGCCGTACTTGTGAATCCATCCAGAACCATTGTGTTGCTCACCCCAAGTTCGGTTCCAGCGCTCTCCATGCTTACCTTCCCACCAGGTCTCCCCCTGCTTGACACCATTACCACTTAGATCAAAACTTTCATCCCATTTGTCACCCCATTTCTCCCATCCACCATATTCTGAGCGCTCAGCCCATTTGTCAGTGTATTTTGTGCTGCCACCATACCCATCATATGTTTCACCCCACCTGGCACAAGCACAGCACACCTAATCCAGTAGGCACAAAAATGCAACATAAAGAAGAAAAAATGGAAAAAGAAGATCAAGCTGTCACTCCTTATTGCTTAAGTTAAAAGTTTCTTTCACTTGCAATTTCTTTGTTGGAAAGTCATTTGCATTCATCAAAATCTTGGGGGAGGTTTAGGGGCAGAGGGTAAGCTTGGAATAAGTCCAATGAAAAAGGGAAGCAAAACGGATGGTCGGAATTCTCGAAATGACATGCAGAGCAGCTCAGTAACAAACACTAGGAAGAATTTAATACAAGCTAAGAATAGAGGTTGCTCATATTACAGCCTATTCGCCTATAGTATATATCATATGAGAAAATCAAGCTTCAAGAATAAACCAAAACATACAAAGCTATAAAGCCTCATATTTAGATAATAAATATATAATTTTCTAAAATACTCTAATGAATTCATACCTTAGAAAGAGTAGACATCATGACTGTGAATATATATTTCCTCGAATTCATATAAATATAGTGCAGACTAGAATATTTTTGGTTTGACAGCAAGAAAAATAAAAATTGTGTTCAAGATAATTCAGTCTATTTCATGACATTACAGGCTTCTATAGCCTGTTTGTTTAAAAAAAAATTCCAAACAAAACCAGCATTGGATAGGAAAAACTCTTGAATCCATTTATTAAATGCTCTTGAAAATTGTGCGAAGTACCGTTCGCAGTTGAAGGAATCTTAAACAAACATAAGCTTTGAAAGATCAGTAAAAATTTAAAAGGATGATAAAAGAAGAGGACCAAACACTATGAAAAGGGGATTAGAGTTCCAATATAGTTCTAGATTGCTACCTTTCATGCCAAACATGAGCGTGCCCAGCTTCAAGGGGTGTGTTTGGGTCAATACTGCACCACTTGTGCGCCCATTTCTCTGCTTGACCAGAGGCATTGTAGTGTTCCCACCATTTTTCCTGCCACTCATCACCTTTGCCATTCCTTCCCCACTTGTCTGCAGTTTTCTCCATATGCATAAGCCCATTATCCTGAAAGTGAAAATCACATTATGATTTTATAAAAAAAACAAGTATTTGTCGTCCAACAGTTCTATGAGTGCTGAGGCTACAGGTACAGCTAATGCATTAATAAATTGGCAAGGAACACTTAAGACCAACTACAGAAGACCTTAAAAAACAGGTGCAAAATTCCACACCAGAATAAATGTGTTAATGAGTGCAGTAAGTCTTACTGACTACTAGAAATATGCTAATCCGATTTCAGCAAACTATATGACACATTACAATAAGAAAGGCATTTAAACGCAAATTACAAGCAACAAATTTTGCTAACCTCACGCAAGGATTCTCTCCAAAATTCATGCCAAACATTTCCATTTGCATCACGTCCAGATTTCTCAGAACCAAGTTCCTTATAGCCAAACTCATCAGCAGCCTCCCAAAACTTTTCTTGCCACTGAATAGCTTTGTCAGCAGTAACACCTCTGGTCATTGTCCATCTGCAAATTACACCATCAGATCTTTGCTCGATTCCTGTGTCTTTCCACCATCTTGATCCATCTGGATTCACTCCAATCGGCGATGAATTATTGGCCTTATTAAGTGCATGAGCTGCTTCCGCTGCATGGCTAGAAGAGAGTGCACCACGCTTCTGTTCCTCTTCCAAGGAAGGAGACTCCATATTGGATGCGGAGGGTTCAACCTCTAATGATGACTGAAGGGCTGGAAGAGTAGAACTATGTTTGCTTTGAGAAAATAAACTTTCAAATGGAATTGAGAGAAATTCCAGCGACCTTTCCTTCTCCGCAACAGGATTGGATAAGGTTGAATAAACTGAAGAATTGGTATCTAACTGCAACCCACTGTTATCATCTGAAGGAACATCACTATCCAGTGGAGGTGTCCAGGACCAGAAATCAGGGCCTGGGATACCGTTTCTCTGAGTTTCTGACTCTGGCACAAAAATATTCCCAGTCTCCATTCCTGAACCTGATTGTATCAAATTATCGAAAGCAAATGAAAGAATACATCAACATATAAGAAATCACTACTAAGATCTTTGATGTATAACGTCCATTTAGAAAGATAACTAAAAAAACATTCGAGTCCTTTTTCACAAGTAAACTCAGTAATAGCATCTTTCACAGCATGTTTCAACCAGCTCACAAACCATGTAACTTCAGTGTCAATGATAACTTGAATTTGATAGAAAATAAAATTAAAAAACCCAGCCAAAATTAAAGCAAATTTTTTTGAAAGTATTAGCATCACCAATTCACCACTCCTATATATTAAAGCAAATCTTTGATGTAATAAAAGAGTATTGCCCCTTTAACCATTCACTAAAATAAATAAACAAATTAATCCTTCAAAAATATAGTATAGATCATATTAATCTCCCTGAAAAGTGAAAATTATCCAATAAGTCCTTAAATTTTTTTATATTCTTTCGGTTAAATTAATTCTTAAATAAATTAATTTGACTAAAATATATTAAAGACACATATGTAATAATTTCCATATTTCATATACTCATTTTACTTATACTATGTTTAAATTGGAGGTTTATATTAACGTCCTTGCATTCCAAAGTTCAACTAACCAAAATCATTCGCAAACTGAAAACCCTAAAAAAGATAGACTACAGTTGAAAACTCAGTTCAAATTCGAAAATAACGAAAAAAAGAAGTAATAAATTAAATTAAATTTATACCATGTTGTTGTTGTTGTTGCTGGTCGCTGCCGGTGTTGGAATCAGCCTCATTGCCTTCCTTAAGAATGGCCCTGGCAGCGGCGATTGCGGCGGAAGCTCGATCAATAACCTGCATCCTCTGAATCCTGTCCCGTTCTTCTCTGGAAACTTCTAGAAGCTTCTGGAACTCGTTTGTTTTCTTCTCCAAATCCTCCTTAACACTACCGTCATATGCAGAAGCTACACGGTCAGCGATTCTGTTGAAGTGTGTGTTCTTTCTGTCTCTCTCCACCGCCTTCTTCCACATTTTCAGGTACGATGATTCTCCTCCTCCTCCACTCGCTCTCGCTCTCACCCTTACACATCCTCTCTTTGCTCGTTGTTGATGAAGAAGGAGCACAGATTGGGACAGTGCACCCGCAGCACGGGATCCGAAGTGGATCGTCGCCATTAACAGAAGGAGTGAGTGAGAAAACTGAGAATGGTGAAAATGGCGGTGAAACGATTTCGGGTATTTATATGGTGTTCGTTGAAATGGTGAAGGGTAAAATGGTGAATGGCAAAGTTGTGAATAATGAGAAACAGTGAGGGTTGTTTCATAATGTGAAAAATGAAAAAGAAAAAGAAGGCACCTTTTCTTAAGGTTCAAGGTAGGAACTTGTAAGAATCAAGGACTCTATCATTTCCACTTTTAACGGTTTTCAACTGTTTGCTTATCCTGCATCAACGTGACTCACGTGACATGAAGAACATGGACAGTGGCCATTTTTTTTTCAAAATAATAAATGAATAAATTTTTGAATTTAATGTATGTGCTTCATTCTAAAGTACAGGGATAAAATTGAAAATAACATACATTTTTAATTTAATATATGTTCTTATTTGTGTTATAACTTTAATATATGTACATTTTACCAGGTAGCTTAGTTGATAATTGAACTTTCAAGTATTTATTCGAGACAGGGTTCAAATATCAGAAAATATTTCTGCAGTTAATGCAGATAAGTTATCTGCATTTGCTTTCAAAACGATGTCGTTTTGGGATTGAAAGATAAAAAAATTATAATTATAAAGACTATAAGAACCCTGAAATAAATTAAAATTATCAAAACACCATGATTTCCGTTCCAAAATGACGTCATATTGGGCTTACTGCAGATAACTTATCTGCAGTAATTGTAGAAAAAGCGAACCCTTCAAATATTGCCTGAAGCAAATTTTTGAAAAAAGTATTGAAGATGAAAGGACAAAATGACCGGAGGAGGTTGAATTGGTACCTTTAGGTTATACCAAAAAAAAAAATTAATAAATAATTTTAGACATGAGAATTAAATTTAAATGTTCACATATAAAATTGACAATGAATAAGCTAAAAAATTAATTTCTTTTAATATATAATTGGGGCCAACAAACATACTTGGATTGGGTTAAAGTCTATTTGGGTTGTATTATGTCTACACAGTTTTTGGGGTTTACATAGCCCAATTCAGCATGGGATATAACGGATCAACCCATTAACAATCACTCCAAGGAGTTTGCTTCTCACTTATAATTTGCATTAGCCAGCAACCTGAATTTTTTTTTCTTGATAGTTGCAGGCAGGAAAATCAAGCTGTGGTTTTGATTTTTTTTTCTTCTTTATTTTATCTGAAAGGTTTGCGTGGCTTGTTCGACCAATAAAAAATGACAAGACTATGGGTGGCACAGTTAATAAGTTGATTATGTTCAAGGAACTGACTATCAGAGCTAAAAGATTTATGGAAACAGATTGTTCGAGCTAAAAGTTTTCTGATTTAATTTAACTTAGAGTTAGTGATAAAAATATTCAATCTACACTAAGAAAAGGATTAATCTCATCAAAATAAATAAATAATAGTAACCTTAAAAAAAATTAGATATAATAATGGCACTGAGGTTCTAATCTATCACCAGACAACTCTACAAAAATTGACAAGGAACTTTTTATTCATTACTATATATAATTATATTTTTAATAATAATTTACCTACAAGACTCAATTTGCATAATAACATGCAGACTTTTGCAACGTGTTAAATTATAAACTTGAAAAACCAAATCCATTATCCGTTGGAGGGTCCTATAGCTTACAAGTGTCTTCCCTCATGCAAATCCCATATATATATATATAGCCTTGCACTCACCACTGCACCAATTCATATATCATATCACCGATAACTCAAAAAAAATGTCATCAATCTCAGCATTAATCTCCTTCTCCCTCATGAAGAGAACTATTCCTCTCTACAAAAAAAATTTAAACTCCATCAATCTCTATCATTTAAACAACCATCTCAATCTACCCACTAAATTCAATATCTTCATGTCCAACACTCCATCCATCTCTATCTCCCTCAACAACCACAAAAACATGGACCCTTTTATCATCTCGGGTGACCCGAAAGACAAACCCGAATACCGGAGAAGGGCCCCACCCGAGATCCCTTCCATACCCAGAACCGAACCTCCTCCTTTTCCAAAAGACGAACCTGTGGTTCCAACCCCGGATCCGGAAACAGACCCGGGAGTGCCACCCGAAATAGTCACGGATCCTTGGAGCCCGAACCCGAATCCAAAACCGGATGCCCCAAAACCACCGCTATCCCCTCCTGGGCCTGACACGCCACATCCGAAACCGGATGTGGAGCCGCCGCGGCCACCGGATGTTGTTCCTCCACGGCCTCCTGCACCGGAGATTGTACCACCGCCAACAATTCCACCCACAGCACCAACTATTATGTAACATAAAAGCATGTACGCATATTATGAATATTAAGAAAGTAGCTTTTCGGTTTTGGTGTTTTGTAACTGTAAGACATTATCAAGGTTAATGCTTCTTGTATTTATTTTTCTTTCTCGTTTCGTGTTTGTCAATTTTAAATAACATAAGTTATCTCATTTTAGGAGAGAGATAGACACAGAAAAAACGAATCATGAAAGAGAGAAAGTGAGTAGTTTTTTTTAATTTAAAATTCAAGTTTTCTGTGTATGTATCTCTTTTAAAATGACATAACTTTCTGTCATTTAAAATGACAAACACATCATTTGATAGCAAATGATCCATAATTTTGGTTTAAAAAAAATGTCATGTGCTCATGTTATTTTATTTTATTTTTCTTTCAGTTTTAGTATAACATATGGTTTTAATTAGTAAACCTTTGTGCATTGTTAGACACACACAACAGGGACTAAGGGAGCCGTTGATTTCTGTCACGAAAATGAAAAATGAAGGGAGTATTTGTCTGTGCGTGTTGACAGAATTCTTAATTCAATGCATCTAGATCTTGGAAATCTTTTTAATTTGTAATATTCTAAATGTTTTTATGTTTTTATAATTTTTTTACATTACGATTTTACGTTTTATGTTAATTCCCTTTCGATTTATTCGATTTTAACAACATTGATGGACAATTTTAATTTTAAAATCAGGTTTTAAAAGGTATTCTAATTTCATTAATATGATGAGTTTATTGGGATTATGATGAGTTAAGTTATTTGGCGTTTATTCATATAGGTATTGATGTCTGACTCAATTTCGTAAACACTTTTTTGACTAAGGTTAAGTTTATAGGTCGTTATGTGTCCATGAAAATTGTTATTTTCTAAAGGAAAATTTTAGCAGTCAAATTAAAGTATTTTGCTTAATAGATAAGATACTCAAATTCCTTTCTAAAAGTGATTAATATATAATTTTATTTATTATGCATGTTTTGATCCGTGTGATATTTTTATTTTAAGAAATTCTTATATACTATCTAATGGTTTCATGTATTCTTCGAGTATGGAAAATCGTTATTTTGCAAAGTTCATGTTTTCATCTCTATACCCGGATGCGTACAATTGATTTCACCTGGATTTATCTCGTCTCGGATACAACATTTCGATATTTTAATTTTATAAAATATTATATTCTGAATATTAAATAATATTTTTAATTCATATAGTACATATTATATTTATTATTCAATAATTTAAAAAAAATTAAAACTTGACTTATAATACCCATTAATTTTGCAAAGAAAAATAAGAGTAAATATTTACTATTATATTTTCAAATTGAAAATCTCTTATACTCTCAAAGAAATAAAAACACTATTCAATAGTGGTTATTCACTTGGATTGCCACCTAGGCTACAATAGGACGAAATATCACTTAACCTACTCATTTAATACACTTATAACCAATTAATTCATGAACCATCCAATTAATCAGTATGGACGAGGTCAAGAATATACCTGCATCTACCTAATGGGTGCAGCTCAGTTGGTAATTTGGCGCTGAGTTAGTGGGGTTGGATATGTGTTCGATTTCCGCTGAATGCATTCTTGGGGAGGGGGCTGAACCTTTAGCCATCACTGTTCCCCCGCACTCCGGATTAGTCTCATAGCCGGCTCAAAGAGTCGAAGCTCGTGGGGATACCGAAGGGAGCCAACTCGTCTCAAAGAGATAATTAGGGTTGGGTAACTCCAAAAAAAGAAAGAATATACCTGCATCTTCTGGGTTGATCCAGTTTAACGAAAGAAACTCGGTGTTGCTTTCCAGCTAAGCAGTGTGTGCAACTCTCCAACGCTTGACCTTTCAACTTGGTCAATAATCCTTTCTTGTTCAGGATTTGGAGTTCACGCTCATGTAGCTGAGGCACTTATGCCACAGCTCCAAGCTATGTCCATCTCGGACAGAATTGGCTTCTCCGCTTTTGATTTTTCCTTGCATCACGTACAAGGAGCCTTCCTTCTTACCTCGGGCAACAACTAAGTTTCCCTTGGCCAACTTCCATTTACCGCTATCGAAGTAATTCACTAACCCAGCATCATTAAGCTTATCTACCGAGATTAGGTTCAGTCGCATATCAGGAACATGTCTTACATCTTTCAACACAAGTCGGCACCCAACATCTGTGGTCAGGGTCACATCACCTACACCAACAATCTTGCTAGTCACCTAATTTTTCATCTTTACGACTCCAAAATCACCACCTCGGTAAGAGGAGAAAAATTCTTTGTGTGGAGTAACGTGGAAGGAGGCACCAGAGTCAACAATCCATGTGTAGCCATCATATGCAACATTCAAGTAATTTTCTTCGCCAAGGAGAAATATCTTAGCATCCGAGTTGGCAGCCACCGCAGTGGTGCTCTTGTCTTCTTTCCTTTTTGGAATAATTTGATCCGGCTTTACAGTGTCGTTCTTCTCATCTTTCTCCAGAGTCCTGCAGTCCGTCTTCTTGTGATCGGGCTTCCCACAATAGAAGCATTTTAACTCATATTTTGGCTTAGATCGGCCTCTGGACTTGTCACGACCCCGACTCTTGCTACAACCCCGGGCGTCAGACCTTCCTCTATTCTCGATCACGTTTGCCTCAGATGTGGTGGTTACACCTCGTTCCCTTCTCCTGGACTCTTCATTCAGGAGGCTATCTATCATGGCATCCATCTTCAATTTTCCTTCT